AGGGATTGGAAAAAGCAAATTTTGCAACTTAAAATCAATGCTAAAAAACTTTTGCACTTGAACTGAAGCAACACTGGCAGTAGTGGGCCGGGTTTTCGAAAAAGGCGAAACTTTTTCTTTCACAATTTTTATAGGCTTTTTGCATTTATGGCTCAAATTCTGGTTCGTTGTGCCAGGCTTTTTTTAAGTATGGACTAACCCAAAGCCGGATGAAAGGAATTTAGACTATAAAAAAAGCTGAGTTATTTGAGGCATAGACTGGACTCTGACGATTATTGGAAGTTTTTTTTTTTTTAAATTTTTCTAAACTCTTGCCATAATTGTAAGCCCATTGTGCCAGGATAGATCAAGGCACGCGCTAAGTTGAAGGTTTACGATTCTCTGAAAATAGCAACATGGGAATAGTCTGTTTCCGGAATTTGCACTTAGTAGTTTTCAAGAGTAAATTAGGAAATATCGTTTTGAAAAGCAACAAAATTTCAATAATCACTCTTGTAAAAAAGCTTTTAATCAAAATTTGCCGCTAACTATTTTTGCGACTTTTCCAAAAAGATTTTTTTAGAAATAACAGATTTCCATATTTTCCCTTTTTTTGCAAATTTTTAGTTTTTTTCTGCCCGACGGGTATCTTGTTGACTTTGCTAACATCTGGTATGGCGCACGCACCAGTAAGTATTAACCACAAAAAACGAGCACTCCGAAAGTTTGCAAAAGATGGTACTCTTAGGTGGTGGGAGATAGCAAAAGGGAGAGAGGGGAGGGGAAGGGGCGTGGGAACCGAGGGCCACATAAAATTGCCAAAAACTGACCTGTAAACGAGTTCTGATCAGCAATGGTCATTCAGCTAAACCGCTTCAGCAACAATAATGAGAGAACAATTTACATGCATTTAAACTGTAACTTTTCAAATCAACCCGTACAGAAATAAATTACCCATCCTGAAAACTGCGGATGTCCAGAAATTCGTCTTCTGGAAAATCAGAAGAACAGGAACCGGAGCTCGACGCTGTTCTGAACTTGGCAAATGAGCTCTCTCATGTGTCGCTCCATTCCTCTTGTCGGAACTGGTACTCCGCTTGATGTAGTGTTGGATGTTGGGGGCGATTGCGTTTGAAAAATCCGCATCGCCAGAAAATCACAATCAGGATGAAGAGGATCAAGAGGCCGAGTGCTGCTGCCAGAACAATCACCCACCACGGTATTGGTGCGGTTTCTAGGATTGCCGGCCGATCCGGATATGCATGCGTTGATGCTGATGCA